TAAATAGAAAATTTTATGACAATTAAAAAAATTGTATCGTTAAGATCAATATGCAGTCAGAAAGTTTTATAATTACTATTTATTGTAAATTTATCAGAAAAGCTCAATATTTTTTTGCATTTTTATGGTAATAGATAACTTAAATAGAAGTAATAGTAATAATTTCCTAGGAACTTTTGTTGTTTGTTGAAAAGATTCTATAATTGAAATATTGAGAACTTAATTAATTTTAATGATTTACTTTAACTAAATGTACCAATCAAAACAAAGTTGTTAAAAAGATTTACTCAATTGAGTTTATTATAAAATTTGATTATATTTGTAAAAATCAATTGTTAATTCAGGAGAAAAAACAATCATTTTTTTTAGAAATGATTTATATAGCAACACGTTAGAAAAAAATTTGAATATTATAGTCTAATAGTAGCACACACAAACAGAGTAATAAAATTATTAAATTACAAAGTAAAATGATTTAATTTTGTAGTTGAAACCTATCATATCAAACTTCATTCGTTAATAAATATTTTGAAAACATTAGAAATTAATGATTTTAATTGTCTTTATGGAGACGATGTAATAACTAACTGTTTAATTGATAAATTAGAATTTTTTTTTCAATTTTTGAGAGTAATATCTTCAACTAGATACGAATTGTAGTCATTTGACGTATCGTTGAAAAAAGTAGGTCAAGTTAGAGCAGAGAAAATAAATGATAGTCACAAAAAAATATCTTCTCGGCTTTGCATCGAAGCTAAAACTTAAAATATAGTAAAATAATTTTAATACGAATAAGAAATTTCTTCTTGCAAGGGGCGACTAAAGTGATGGGATCCTTGATCTTTATTGAAGTTATTGAATCTAAATGTGATAAAAATCAAACGGTTTAAAATTTATACTAACTTAAAAAGAATTAAGAAAAAATGCAAAATATTCATTGCCATACGCGGGTTGGAACCTCGTTCCCCAAGCGTGTAAAACATATGTTTTACCAACTCGACAACCGTACGTCGCTACCGTCGGGTGAAAAAATAGGCTATTTAAGCTAGTTCAAATTTCAAAGTTATTTTTCTCGACTTAAAAAAAGCAAACAAATTTAAATAAGTTTAATTTTCTATGCTATATTAATTTTTTATTTATATAATATTTATGAAAATCTGTAGTCCCCTTGTCAGGTATTTTAAAATAAAATAAAATACAAAACCCAGAATTTTAACACAAAAATAGCAAATTTTTGAATACGGTAGTCATTTTTACCGTGAAGACAAATCCAGAGGTCACATTTTTTTTTTTAAATTAAAGTATATTATATAAGCTTTAATTTAAGATATATATAAAAGTGTCAGTATTTCCGGAATACTTTCAAAAATTAAATTGAAAATATCATAGTAACAATACGCATGATTAAAGTTTTGACCCCCCTTGTTAAAGGGGTATGATCCGATTTACAAAAAAAGCGTGTAGATGAAAGGAGTATATAAATATTTATTATAAAAAAATAATAATATTGATCCATACATTTTTCCAAAAGTTATATAAAATATAAATTAAATAATATAACATATAAAATCGAGATTTTTTTCACGGAAATCGTACGTTTTTCTTTAACTTTGATGTCCGTTTTCACCACGAAGACAAGTCCAGAGGTCAAATTTTTTTTTTTCAAATTAAAGTATATTACATAAGCTTTAATTTAAGATATATATAAAAGTGTCAGTCTTTCCGGAACATTTTCAAAAGTTAAGTTGAAAAAGTTCTACTTTCTATACGCATTTTAAAAGGTTTGCACCCCCCCTGTATAAAGGGAAATGGTCCGATTTTAAAAAAAAGTATGTCGAATGAAAGAAGTATATATAAAGTATTTATCATTAAAGAATAAAGTTGATTCATGCATTTTTTAAAAAGTTATAGCAACATAATGTTAAAAAATGTAAAATATAATATCAAGAATTTTTTCACAAAAATAGCATATTTTTGCATACGGTAGTCATTTTCACCATGAAGACAAGTCCAGAGGTCAAATTTTTTTTTTTCAAATTAAAGTATATTACATTAGCTTTAATTTAAGGTATATATAAAATTGTCAGTCTTTCCGGAACATTTTCAAAAGTTAAGTTGAAAAAGTTAATTTTTTGTAAAAAAGTTACCATTTTGAAACCCCATCCTTTGGGCTGTTAAAGGATCAAATGTTCACAAAAATATATAAAATGATAGGTAATTATCTAAGGTATCTATAAAAAAAAAAATTATATTGATTCGATCATTTTTAAAAAAGTTATGGCAATTTTAAGTAAAAAAAATTGAAAAAATATCGAAAATTAGCGATTTTTAAATTTGTAATTTTTTGGGGGATTTCCCCCGTTTACAGGGAACGAGGGAATTTTTTTCAATTTTTGAGGGTAATGTCTTCGACTAGATACGATTTGTGATCTTTTGACATATTGTTCATCAAAATCGGTCCAGCGAGAGCTGAGATTGAGCGTTCACAGACACAAAAAAAAAAAATAAAAAAAAAAACACATCATAGTAAAATTAATACCTTCTCAGCTTCGCATCGAAGCTAAAAGTCATCCAAAGAAAAAATATTTGTTAGCTAAACACGATCTTTGTTTAATATTCGCTAGTCTAGATTAGAAGTTGAATTAAAATTATATTATTTAAATTATACTAATGCTATTATATTAACACTCTCATAGGATTATTTTTAGGTATAGAGGTGAAATAATTAATTTATTATTAAATAGCTACGTAATAATATACTTGATAGATAGAGATATTTCGGTTACACACCATATGTGTGAAATTTTTCAACTACCTCTAAAATATCACAAACAATCTTGGTAAGACACATCTCTTCTATTTATAGCTACATTTATAAATTTATTAATGTATAATTATTGTATCATATATATTTTATTACATTAATAATAGGAACAAGTTGACATTCTTAAGCTTTAATTAAATTTCTTAAAGAAAATATATACCACATTAACTTGAAACTTGGTAGAAACTTTACTTTGTACAATGAGACCAAATAAAAAAGTTGATTAATTAATATTTATTATTTTAAGAATTATTTATTTAGAAAAAGACAAATTCGCCATCTAGCCCAAAATAAGGGATAAGTTGACATACTTTAGCTTAATTTAGAAATTGCTTAAAAAATGTATTATCTCTGTATTCTCCAATTAAGAGTAAGTCACCTTCTGTCCCCTTAAGATACTTTAAAGGTATAATAAAATTTGTAATTGGTCTACGGAGTAATTAAAAATAAAAATTGGAGTTTAAAAATATTTAAAACAGGAAATCTACCTTATGACAAGATAAGGTGTTCTCCAAGATAATTTTAGGTTTAATTTTTCAGTAACTGAGCTAATACAACTAATTATAAGCATACAATTTTATGCATAGAAATTCATTTACAAGTTTTTCCATTTCATTATTATTAAAAAATCCCACGTAGAATCCTCGTGATTTTAATAAGACTTAAAATTTCAAACACTTTTTACTCATGATGTTTGTTTTTAGTTATTGTATAACAGGTATAAATGTGATTTAAAACACGCATATATGTTTGTTTTAAATATATTAAAATTAGAATTATAATTTGTCATTATTTAGTTAATATATGTTAAAATTCTTCCGAAAAAATTTCATTGACATTATTATATAGTTTTTAATCCCAAAAAGATCATCTTTCTCCAAGCTTTAACATGTCCTGGTGTTTCCTAAATTATTCTTTACTATAATTATTTTTTAGATTACAGCAATTTATTTTTTAATTAATACTGACTTGAGTTATTTTCAATATGTTAATGTCATTACCATAAAACATGTAAGATCTTTATATTAATACTGTCTTTTGGTTAATATATAATATATTTCAATTAATGTAATAAACTGTTATGTTTAGTGTGATGATTGTACAATATTCCAATTAACAAATGAAAAGTAATACGAATATATTTTATGAAAAAAACCCAAATGTTTGTTCCATTAACTCTTTAATTTTTAAGTAAAAAATAAATTAACATATATTAGACGTAATATTTGTTTTAACTTTACTATTTTTTTTTTTATCGTTTTATTCAATATATTTATTAAAATGATTTTTATTTGATAATTTAAAATAAAGTTTTATAATTGATACATAAAATCCGCTATATTTTTTTGTTAAATTATTGCCTGGGTATCTTTATTGGATAGTATAATAAGATTGTATCTCAATTATAAAAGTATTTATCGTAGTTATTAGTATTAAATAATTAACTTTTTTGTTTTTCTATATTTTATGTTTGATTGGTTTAATTGATATAATGTGTATGCATGTAAAATATATTTAAAAATTTGGTTACACAACAGTTTCAATTTAAATTCATATATTTTTAAAATGTACCAATTATGTTGAAAGATTTTTTTTTTTTTATAAAAAAATATTAAGATTACTGTGAGTTCTACATTTTGAATAGTTTCTAGAAGTCACTTGAAGTTGTGATTAGCTCGTGCTGATAAAAACTCATGAGTCAATGATTGAGTATTTGTTTATTGTGATCATCAACAATAGGTTGTGTTACTACGGCGAGTACGTTAAAGGCGTTTACTTAAATCAGTAATCTTACAAATGTATCTGTTGACTGGAAAAAGAAAAATAAATAGTAGGTCACTCGGTTTTACGGAGAACGAGACTTCTTTTGATATTCTTAGTCTAGGCGGTCTTGGCAGTGGTGGCGGCGTATGCCAAAGGAAGTGGAATTAATGATATTTGAGTGGCGGAGTAAAGAGAATGATTGCTACACTAGAAAAACTATATATATATATATATACGTGTATATTGAGACTGAGGTGTCGAGATAAAACGATTCTTATGTATACTTTCGGAATTCCGTTACCATATATTAACATTAGCAAACATCTAAAAGCTGCCGTCATCGTTGCTGATTCTGGGAGGGCCAATCGGCAGCTTCCAAACCACCCCGACGTAGGCCGAAGGTAATAAAACTAGTGGTGGTTGGGTGGCCAACTGCTATCAAGTGGACAGCACGCGCGCCATCACTTAGCGCAATCCGATCGGGCTGCAGTTCGTCTTTTGCTCTTGAAAATCTGTTGCATTCGTAACGTTTAACATAGTAAGTAAAAAATATCTCATCTTATTGAATAAATAATTATTTTACCGATAATTAAACAAAACTGTTGGTACTAGTAATCATCAACCACATTGGTCATTACATAATTATGTATAATTTATCATAACAGATTTATTCGGTTTTTGAATAAATAACAATTTTATTAAAATATTTTATATCTCAGACAATTTGAAAAACTTTAAAATGAGTGGTTCAGGAAAAAGCTTACTGGGCCTATGGCTCTACAGGTCAGGGGAAGAATGGGCGATTCGAGATTCACAAGCAGATGTAATACAGTAATGGAACTGCTGAAACACTAGTATTTTTTTTAATTAAACGTGTTATTTTAGTCAAAACCGGCGATGGGAAGACCTGAAAAGAAATGTGATAATAGAAACTCAGTAATATTTTCGCTGAAAAATCAAGTTGGTGGACTAGCTAGAGCTCTACAAGTATTTCAAGTAAGAAACTTTAATTATATGTTAGATTTATATTCAAAAAATACAGAAAAAACATCTTATAATTTCAAATGTTAAGCGTTTGTATGTAAAATGACATAAAGGAACTTAACAAAGATTGAACAAATATTTTCATTTTTAATAGTTGTAATGCTATTGAACAACAAATTAAAGTGGTAAAATATTAAATAGTATTTTTTTAAACAATGTGTATTATTTTTAAAAATAAAATTGGTTAGGCTATCGCAAAAATTAAAAGATTTTAGCCTTTAAGCCTACATTTTGCGGGACGAATCTACAATGTCTAGAGCAAAATATTTTTGTTAAGTCCAACTAATTATTACTTTGTTGATAAAAAGGATTTTTTTTTTCATTTACTGAATCATTCAGAACACGGGGTAGAACTCGCCACTCCCTCCTAACTTTGTCAACAAACTTTTGTCGGCTCAGCATATTTTTCTTGTCAATGTTGTTTATTTATAAATTAATACAACATTCCGAGAGAGAAAATAATTGAATTTTTAAAGAAATTATTGCCGCTATAAATTATAATTTTCAGGGCCGTTTTATTAATTTATTGATGTTTTTTTAGGACTTGGGAGTTAACGTACTGCATATTGAATCGAGGCCTTCACGTCGCAGACAATCTGAATTCGAAATTTTAGTTGACGTTGAATGTGATAACAAAAGAATGGAACAACTAACAGGCATGCTAAAACGCGAAGTGGCAGCAATTAATTTGGCTACTTTTGAGAGTGGAGCTGATATACCACCCCCCACTCCGATGTCAGCAACTGCCAGTTTTGGTAAGTTATGGAGGCTTTAATCGCCTCTTAACACACAGTGATCAAACGCAGTATTTAAAAAACTATTTTTATTAATGCAAACTCAGTTATAACATCCAAAAGTTAAATAAGTATTTCAGTTTGAAATCACCCCTTGTAATTTTGAATCATGGTCTACTAGTTTTAATGAATCAATAAACATAATTTATATTATGTTAAACATCATATTTTATCTAATTATTTTCATAAAATTAAAAAATATTTAATTCCAAAAACTACAAAAATTGTTAAAAAATCCCATGTACATATTTTGGGAGCACATATTATATATGTATTTAGCGCTGAAGATGATAACATTGTTCCTCAGATAAGTACACGATTTTTTAGTAATTTTTATGGCTCTTTGAATTAGATGTTTTATAGTTTTAAATTAATATTTAAAATATATTTTTAATTTTAAATAATATTAGCCAGGAGTGATCTATTCTTAATATCTATTCTTGTTTATATTTTATAGACTTTTCAGAATTTGAAGTGCCTTGGTTTCCAAAGAAAATTTCTGATTTAGACCGAGCACAACGTGTCCTTATGTACGGGACGGAACTAGATGCTGATCACCCGGTAAATATTAAAATAAGAATGCTAGACACTTTTCATATTTTTCAAGTGACTAACTTGTTATAATATTAAATATGTCAATATCGAAATATTTATTAAAATGAACATTTTTTATGTATTGAAACTTTTAATAGGGATTCAAAGATCCTGTGTACCGTAAAAGACGCGTAGAATTTGCAAATATAGCGAATTCTTATAAATAGTGAGTACAATGTACTATTTATTATGTCATGATAATTAAAAAAAAATGTTAATGAAATATTACTTTTAAATACTATTAACAGTTAAGTTTTTGTTTTTTTAACACACAGTTTATTATTACCATATTTTTAATAATGCTCGGAGTTAATTAATATAAGTATTATGTTTAACGAAATAGTGAAAATAAACTACATGGAAAACAAACTTCTTCGACAAATAATAATGTCACTAATAAAGAGATTTTATTTTTTAGCGGCCATCCAATTCCCAGAGTACAATATACAGCTGAAGAAATTAAGACATGGCAAGTTCAAGATATTTAACAGTTACTATTATAACATAGTGTTATGATATTAGTTATAATAATAACACTATAATTAATACCACAATATCTACAATACACAAAATAACAACTAAAAACCAATCGAAATAATGAATTTGTTTCACCCTATCAAACTTGATCATTAATTTTTAGTCAAAATCTAGGTACCCAATAGTGTACCTAGGACCTAAAATTTTTAAGATAAAATTATAGACTCGAATACAAATTTTCGTTACGCATAATTCTCAATTTTGCTGATTTCGTTAATTTTATCTAATTGCATACGTATTCAAAGTCTTTAGTATTTAAGTTAAATTAGAACACAGCGATATAACAGATATTATTCTATGTAAAACATATTAATTAGTTTGATTAAAGTCATACGATATAAATTAGCAGAGGCGATATTCGGCGAATTACAGTACAAATTAAATAGAAGCTTCCGTTTTGTATTTATTTGTCTACAAATCTGACAGAAATGGGCAACTTAAAATTATATTATTTTAAGACAAAATCTTAGCTCTTGAAACTTAAACCCATTTATTATGAACACGAGGTTCGATAGATCAATGCAGTATAAAGCGTTTGAACTTAATATAATATATTTTTAATTCAAATGTTTTCATAATTCATGAATATAGAGAGTGTTCAGTAAGTAAAGAAACAGGTCAATTACAACAAACAACGAGAACAATCGATACAAGTTTCCTTACTTACTGAACATGCTATATATATATTATACATTTATAAAAGTCGATTTTATATACGGGAACCTAATAATAAGAGAAAATCGGCTCAACATAAATAATAATGACGATACCAATCCAAAACTTGTCAAAAGCATATGGAGTCGTTCGATACAGCAAAAACATTTATCATCCCGTTGCAAATGAGACTAATAATGGCACGCGTCGATACGCATTTTTCTGAAACAAAACCAATTTAATTTACTTATGTAAGGTTTTTTTACCAATTTCCAATAATAGGGGTACAGTGATGCGTGAACTCCACAAATTATACGTGCAACATGCTTGTCGAGAATATCTAGAGAACTGGCCAGAGCTTGTCAAGTACTGCGGTTACAGAGAGGACAACATACCACAACTTCAAGATGTTAACACATTTTTAAAACGTAAGTATATAATATACATGTATATTATAGTGTACTAAAACGAATATAATAAGTAAAGGCTTATTAATTGTCAAAAAATTGATAACTATTTCAGTTATTGTAAGAAATCGAGTTAAAAGAAGATAAACGAAAAGAATTAAATAAACTAACAGACCGTACGTTTAAAGCGAAAATTCTGTTAATCTTGTCTAAGTCTTATACAGTCACGGCCAATAGAGTTTTTGCTGAAATTTCTTGTACAATTAATATGTTAATAATAATGTGTCTGATCGTTTTTGTGACTCTTATAATTGATTAACGAAAATATTTCAAATATCCACCCGATTTTACCGTATTTAACTACATAATGCTGTAATTTTTTTAACCAAGCAATAATAGCCTTTACAAAAATTGAAAATATTCAATAGTTTCTGGGAAAATGAGTATCTTATCTTTAATTGATCAGTCTGTATATAAAATACATATGAAAATCATATACACTGTATACAACTTTTTTTAAGATATGAGCGTAATTAGCGGAGTTGTAGCACATCCAGTCTTAAATAACCAATATTCATTTTTCTCTAAAAGATTTTAAAATATATCAAACTATTACGATTTTTAGGAAAAAAGGTCTTTCTTAGAATATTGATTGAATGTAGCACATTTAGTCAAAATTTTGGTATTATTTAATATACTATTCAAACAAAATAGAAGGTTAAGAAACCTTAATGACTTTTTTTAGTTTGTCTCTTTAAATAAAGTGAGAAATTACAAAAATTCTGAAGGTGCGAGAATTCTCTGACACCCCTATTTATGTGCGCCTATTTATCAGAGAAATAAACCTCTTATTATGCATAATATGCAGGTACTATTTGAAAAATTATTAGTATATATTTACACAAATAATAACAAACAATATTTACATTGTTTATTAAAACAAAGTTAATGTCTCATCAAATTTCTAGGTAAAACAGGTTTTCAATTGAGACCAGTTGCTGGATATTTGTCTCCCAGAGACTTCTTATCCGGATTGGCATTTCGTGTATTTCATTGTACGCAGTATATAAGACATTCGTCAGATCCATTTTACACGCCAGAACCAGATTGCTGTCATGAATTACTAGGTCATATGCCATTATTAGCCAATCCAACATTCGCACAGTTTTCTCAAGAGCTAGGGCTTAACTCACTAGGTGCTAGCGACCTAGACGTTGGAAAACTTGCAACGGTAAAACGATATCGAATTTTAATAACCACTATAGCTATTATTAAAATCTTAGCGACCAATTATTAAGAATTGACAATAAAAAACTCAAGCTCGTAGCCCTGAACTGCAACGACACAGATTATGTACATAAATAGAAACTTGCACTAATTTAATTATATATATTAATGATACAAACTAGGGGTTAGAGAGTTTTAACCCCTGCATAATATAATACATAATATATTTGGAGCAAGTATATTTGCACAATTTATAATTTTTTGAAGTGGTATTAAAGCCTCTATATTTATAAATTACATTTTTTTTTTTCATTATTTTCAATTTAAATCTAAAAAGAATGTTTAAATAAATTCACGGAACAACAATTGATACATTTTGTCTATTTTCCAGCTTTACTTTTTTACTGTTGAATTTGGTATGTGTAAACAAGATGGCGAGCTTAAAGTATACGGCGCGGGTTTATTGAGTTCAGTTGCAGAGCTTCGACATGCTATAGAAACCAAAGAAAAAATTAAACGTTTTGATCCAGAAGTCACTTGTCATGAAGAATGTATTATTACATCATATCAGAATGCTTATTACTACAGCGAAACATTCGAAGAAGCCAAAGAAAAAATGAGGTAAGATTATAATTTTTATTTTAAAATTTGTCACAAGAAATTGTTTTTCTCCTCCCTCTAAAACACTATCAATTTTATTTTTTTAATGAAAACATAAATTTTTTACTAAAATAAGAGAATGAACTAACTAAGGAAATGACTGATCGATAGCAACTTTTTGACTAGAATTTAAAAAGTTATTAACACTTAATTATAATAACTGAAGGTGAGTGCGAGTCAGGAATCTCTAGGTATTCATAAAACGCGCTACTCCTTCCGCTCTGATATAAAAGTAATAAAATCTTATTAAATACCGGTTTAAAAGTTGTAATTGACCAGTCATTGTTTTAGTTAATTTTCTGATTTTTTTTTATGCTAATTAAACATATGCATCTATTTAAAAAACTCAAGTTGATTCTATTTTTAAGAGGAGAGATGATGGGGAATTAGACCATTTTTTTAAAAATTAATTTCAAACATAGAACACTATTAACTTCTGAAATAATTTAGTACGTTTTATACTTTTAAAAATATTGCGTGAAGAATAGATAACAATCACTGAGTATATACAGAGTCGTCCACAATTTTTTAACAAAACTAATAACTCTTATCCAGCGTATATTTTGTGTTACTTTTTTTATTTAAATACATTTTACAATTTTGGTCTCATAAAGGTGTACGTACTATCTTCCAGCGCTACATATCTACTCAATGTATTAAAATGCTTGTAACTTAAAAAATACTTGTATTAAAAGTTTTACACTCCACCATTATTTTTCAAAATATGCTAAAAAATGAAAAATATAAAAATTTACTTTAAACGTAGCTTAAAAATATTATATTATATATTATAATATATATATATATTAATAATTATATCAAAAAATCAGTTAGTTCTGACATTCTCTGTACATGTATTTATACATTTTTTTAGAGAGTTTGCCGATAGCATTCAGAAACCGTTTGGTGTGCGTTACAATCCATATACTCAAAGTGTGGAAATTCTTAGCAATACTGATAAGATAGCAGCACTAGTATCTGAATTAAGAGGTGATTTGTGTATTGTAAGTAATGCTCTTAGAAAAATACATGCTGAAGAAGAAACTGTGGAAAATATTACAAATATGCTTCATAAAGGAATGAATGTTGGAGGAATATCACCTGAAAAATCACCTGATAAATAAATGAAATAAAGCTAAATATACCGTGGGTGACAAATCAGATGAAGGATAAATGCTTTAAATTTCAGTAGAAATACTATAGATTTTATTGTAACTTTTTTTTTTTGTTAACACTAATGTCTATTTTAAAAGTTAAATAATGTTGGTTTTAATAATTATTTGAAAGATTATATAAAATCTGTTTTTAGACATAAAAACATTTTGTTCAAGACACTTTCATTAAATTCAAAACTAGTTTTATTCATACATTGATATATTGAATATTAATATAAACTGAGTTTAAGTTAGTTTGCAATTAAGAGGCCCATGGACAAGTGCATTTCAATCCCCTTGTAGAACAATCATCAAAAGCACTATGTCAAATATGTAAAAGTTTGTGGCACTTCAATAGAATATGCTTATTATAAACACTATCTTTGTGTAATTAAAGATGTACTATTTTATTTAGTAGTTCTAAAGTTAGGTCAATATAAATTACAAAAGTACAAAATAAACATTAGCACAATAATGTCACGGTCCGGTATGGATGAGGCATAATTGAAACAAGTATAGATGATATCTGACAGTTATTAAAATCACTGTCATAAGAAACAAATGATTCTATGCAAATTTTCAATAGTGTTTAATTCTATGATATTGGTGTATTGACTAAAGCATCAATTCCTATATCCTTAATTATATAACCTGATTAGTAGTTTTTGATTTAAAAGTAAAATATATAAATAAATACTAGTTATAGTAATTAAATTTAGTATGCAATTAACATTCAATAATTTAATATTAATATTTTTACGGAGAAATTATAAAAATAATAAAGAAGTTGTATATTTCTTTACTTTTAATGTGCATAAAAATTTAAAGGGCTTGATGCAATACTATTAAAAAAAAAACATTTTGAATAAATATACTGGTTAACAAGGAACTTTCATTAGAATAAAAAATATACTTTTCACTAGTACAATTCTACATTAGTATAATTCTATTTTTATTCACTCTTTCTAAATGAGTTAAGATAAAATTGCTGAAATATAATTTAGGCTTTTAACTAATTTTTATTAAAATTTTTTATAAAATTGTTTTATTATAAATTATATTAAATTTTCAATTATACTTAAAAATCAATAATCCGAAACAATTATTGATGATGATGCAACTTTACATTCATTTTCCAATACACCTCCAAATACCTCAAATCGATGATTAATTTCTTTTAAAAGATGTATACTTGTAATACTTTCAAGTCCGCCATTAATACTTGTACATCCATAAAACACTCTTTTGACTCTACTGTGAACTAAAGCCATTGAACACATTATGCAAGGCTCTCTAGTTATATAAATATCATATCCAGTGCATAGATATGGTCCACTTTTGTTCATTGAAGTTATAACAGAAGAATTTAAATTCTTGACCCATGCTCCACCACCTTGACATTCTGCAACTTTGTCTACAACACACATCACTGCATGTTTGATAGGATGTTCATGACGAAAATCAGCACTTTGGGCAATCACAGAATCATTTATAGGATCAACTACAACTGCTCCTGAACATACATCTTTAGCACAACCTAATGCCAACTGCATGAATTCTTCAATTTTAGATAATTGTAACTGACTAAAATAAGTGTTGTTCAATAAAGATTCAGTGTGCTTATCTGGATGAAAATTGCAAGGCCAAAATTGTAGAGCTAGATTATTCTGAAGGTAAGTCTTTGGCATTGACATAGGTACATCTATTATTATAGGATGTCCACTCAAACCAATAAAATCAAAACCTTTTTGTTTTAATTCAGATACACATTCATTTGGTTGAAAATTATTGACAAACATTAGTATAATTCTATTTTTATTCACTCTTTTTAAATGAGTTAAAGATAAAATTGGTGAAATATAATTTAGGCTTTTAACTAATTTACTTGTCATTTTACGTTCAATTATAGTATCTATAAAAACTTTTACAGTTTCAATTTTGTCAGATGTTATTTCATTTGATAATATAGGACGAATTGTCCAAGTTGAATGAAGTTTTTGTCGTTTTGATTCCATTTTCAAAGTATTTTAAGGCTAAAAAAAAAATTATTTTTATTAAATATTTAAACAAAAAATACATTTAAATAATAAATTCAAATAGAGTACATAAAAATACTTTAATTGTACAATTATTAATAACAGACTACAAATAATTTCTCAATTAAAAACACTATAATGAATAATTAAAAATTGTCTTTCAAAAAATTTTTATTTCCATATATCTATATTAAAATTTTATTATTAACACATTTATATAATAATTTGCAATTATATAATCAAATTTAAGTACAAAAATATATTAAAAAAAAATTAAGATAAGCTAATAAAATAGCTTTTAATTTGTACATTGGTTTAAATTGAGTGTCCGTTCTCTCATTCAACAAGGAGTTATGAAAAAAAAAATAAGAATATATTTCTACAATAATTCATATATTTATAAATATGGATTAAATTTTATTCAAAAACATAATATATGGTAGAATAATTAGTTTTCAAATATTCATAAGTTCCAATTCAGTTTGTAAATAGTCTTTTATACATCAAATCGAAGACATGATGAAAATCCTTCTTCATCATATTCTTCCTTAGATACTACTAATGAGTAAAAATCTGAGTCATTGCTTAACATATCTCCACCATGCCATGCATATGTTATTGGACTAAAAGAAAGAAAATACATTTTTATGATATACAGAGTGTTTTACCATGTTCTGACATCTTTGATAACTTTAAAACCATTATGTTACATTTTTTAAAATAAGTCTTAGGTTAAGTTGAAAACATTTTTTTATTTTTCTCTAATAAGAAAAAAAAATGTGTTTTTTAAAATTTTCTCTACTATAGTATAGCTATATTTAAACCTTTTTTATCATAAAATTTTGATAACAACTTTAGGATAAGAACTTACTGAATAACAAGCATTTTAATACATAAAGTGAATATACAACTCAGGTTTAGTATTGTAATCAGGGTTGTTATATTTTAAACATGTTTAAAAACCAAACATTTTCAAAATAAATTGGTCTCATGGAACATTTTAAGCTGTATTTTAAATAGGTTTATTTTTTTTAAACATATTTTTACAATCCTGATTGTAACTCAATAAGTACTTATCTTAAAAATGTTATTAAACAATCAAACATTTTTTAAAAAAAAGCTATATGGAATATATATATTATATATAGCTATTATTATAATATTATATTTATATATACAATATATAAATATTTTATTAGAAACAAATAACAAAAATAACTTGTTTTTCATCAATCCAGTGTAAAAATTATATATATATATATATATTTTATATTTTAAATAATATAATAATTACTTTTTAGGTATAGTAATAGTTATATCAAATTCATCTGGCGTAAGAGCTCTTATATCATTAGTCAAGCGTTCTTCAAAACCAGGAAAACAAGCACTTCCACCAGTTACAATAATATTATTAAAAAGATGAGGACGAACTTCTTCAGGACACATATTAATGCTATGAACTATTGCTTCTGGTATACCCATTTGATCAATACCAATATCACTAGGATGAAATAAGATTTCAGGAATTGTAAACCGTTCATTAGATAATCTTAAAATTTGCTATATGTAAAAAAAAAAATGAAAAAGATAATTTAAAATTTATTTGTCATGTATTTAGAAAAATTTATTAACAGTGAATACAAACTTAAGATTTTAACTAACATTATCTTTATCAAGAGCTCCGCCAGTTTCATCTAAAGTTCTAACAAATCCTCTATTTACAGTAGTGTAATCTGGTAGAACATAATCTCGAACAATTGTATTTTTTGGCCATTTAGTTTTTGAAATTTTCATATCTTGATTGAAATTTGTCGACACAAAGCACATATCTTCTTTAACTTGATTCATAACATAAGTTTCTTCCATAACATCTAAGTGACGATAAGATATGACTTCTTTTAAATGGTTAGTTAATATTTTACCTCCAACATTTATTCTTAATATTCCAGGTTTAAATTTTTTTTGTAGTATATAGGGAACAATATGTGTAAAACTGTAACCAGTTTCTACAACTAAACAACATTTGGCTTCTTTATTATCTTGATGATAGTGATAACAAGAGAGATCTCCCGCTATAATAGTAATAAAATAAAATTTATTAATATAAAAACTTTAACTTATAAAGTAACATTTTTCTTTTAAAAAAAAAATATACCATTAATACGTAATAGAGATTGAAATTCATATTCTTCAAAAAACATTTCAGTCATTCCTTCTTGAATAGAACTAAAATTAAAATACGGTTCTGTAACTATTAATGGAGTTTCAGTGAAATCTGCTTTGCAACATTCTTTACTAAATACATAGTCCCAAACGGTTTTTTGAATATCCCAATTCAATAAATATCCCTAAAAAATATTAATTAATAATAAGAAATAATTATACATTTTATCAATAAAAAATCTTTCATTTTTTTAAAATTAAAATCTAATGATGAGTTAAGTTAATATATAATAAATTTAAGGTATTAATACACATAGTTTAACAAACATTTAATTACTGTAATATTGTAACCATTAAAATAAGTGTAGATGATAATTTGAAATGAACAAAAATTTCAAATTATAAATTATAGAAGAATTACATGGAATACGTGTCTAATACACTGATGGCTTTAAAAAAAATAAAATAAAATATAGAATACAATTGTGTTCAAATACCTTTTGATAGCCAAGCATGTAAAACAGTCCTGATTTATCTCTGCATTCTTTTAATTGGTCTCCAATAAATGTACGACGACGTTCACTTTTGACTTTCATAATGTAATTAGGAATAACTCTAATAAGTAAAATTTTTAAGGAATAATATATATTGCAATTATATAAAATTTAATTTAAAATTAACTTACAAAGGTTCACTGTCTCCGGTATGTCCCACTTTAGCTGTGTATGCTCCATTATCCAAAATATAACATTTGGCAGTCATAATAAGGGAAGCAATTTATTAATTTGAAATAATTTAAAAAAACTTCATTAATTAATTATTTTTAATTAATTGTGACTACACACAAATGTACAAATGCAAAATATGCAACGAACGTTATCACAACAAACATGCCGATATAGGCGTCTTATTAGTACTGATAAGTAATGATTGAGCGGGCAGCTAAATGCAGGGGTTCTAAAATTGTTTTCTACCACAATTTCTATTGATGAGATTTTCAAACATATTTAAAATAAAATAAATGTAAACATAAATTAATTTAAGTATAAATATTTTATAAAAGTTAAGCGTAAGGTATCCCATGTAAGTAAATATTTAATAATATTTTGGTAAATAACACTTTTGAATTCGGATGTGTTCGGTGATTACTCACGGTGAAAACCGAAGGGATAAAAAAATCAATACCCTTGATACATAGGGTGGTGATATAATTTCATCATAATGAAAAGAAGAACGATAAAAGTTAAACATTTTTTAGATCAAAAGTAAGTTCAACAGTTTTGATGATATTGTCTAGGTGGAAGGTATAAATAAAAACTCAGAATGGCAGATTCCGAATTTGAAGAATTTAGGCAAATATTTGAATCGCTACCACAACACCTGAAAGCATCTGCACAGACCTATACGTAAGTTAAATTGTACATCAAACTTAGCAAAATATATAGTTGATTTGTAATGTAAAAAAGTTTGAAGAAATATTAAGATAATTATTATTTTTAGATACCATATTTCAAATTTTAAACCGTTCTTATTGGTTTTGAAATTAAATGAATATATTTTGCACACGTGCATAGAAACATGATAATTTTTTTGTATTTAATGTATTATATCATATAAAGTAAATTTAAAATATTGGTATTTTTATGGCCAATATTCTAAAGAAAAACAATATTATGAAATCCTAGACAAAAAAAAGGTACCTTATTTTTGTCTATTTTTAGTTTATAGACTAATTTTAGTCCTATTGGATCTAAAATCGCACTGGCAATAAATGCAAAATTTACTGCCGATAACTTTCTCATCAAGTGATAATCAAAACCAATTGTCTGGTTTTAATTAACCTAATAATTTACACTCTAAAAGACTATATTAAATTGTTCTCGTAATTAAATATATTCAAAATTTTAAAACTAATATAGCTGATAATATTTAGTAGTAACTTTCATTTATTTAAACTCAGTAGTATATTTTCAAAAACTGACGAAAGTTTTTAAAAATTTTTATCGGTGAGATATATAAGAATAAAAAAAATGTCATTAAAATGATCTGATATCGCCCATTATATGAGAGTATTAATTATACTATGAAGTGTTTATTTATTTTTTTGTATCTATTGCTACTTTTATAACAATACGTCAAAAGATTACAAATCATATCAAATTGAAAACATTATCCTTAAAATTTTGAAACAAATTTCGTTTTTTTTTCGTAAATGCGGGAAATCCCCAAAAGTATCATAAAATATTTTAAAATCCTTGATTTTAACGATTAAAAAAAAAAAATTAAAAATGTCACAATTTTTTGAAAAACAGATGATTTATAACAACATAAATATCTTAGGTATTTCTCTTTTATTATATATAAATATATATTGAAAATGTGACCTTCTACTTGCTCACGGAGGGGGGGTGATTAGAATAGCAACTATTACATGAAAAATTAAATTTATATTTTGAAACTGTTCCGGAAATACTCCGTTTTTCAAATATATGTTAGATATAAGCTTATGTTATATAACATAATTAAAAATATATATTTCTGGACACCTTGTGCATAGGGCTGTTCAGTTAAACAAAAAAAACATTTTTTGTTTGAATTAATTGTTCTTCTTATTGTTATAATTTTTTACTTAAATTTTTTTTCTACTAATTTCGCTTATACCATAGGTCAAACAATATGGTCATATAGAAAGGTAAGCTTAGTAATCCCATTTAACATTCCTATTTTACAAAAAAATAATAATTAAAGTTTAAGTGTTAGGTATAAATTTCCAGGGAAAATTTTAAAGAAAAGGGAGAAGCTTTTATGTTAATTAAATACGTATATTGAAAGAAAGGAAGCTGCCCTTTCCAAAAGAAATGTTCTAATTCTATGGCTTATGGTAAATTACAATTTCAAATTAAGAGAGTTGACTTTTTTTATAAATCCATGTTTACAATTTTGATACACGTTCGCTAAGGAGCATGGTGTTACGCGGTGATAAAACTAGCTGTTGATAAAACTCTAGTATTAATTTTTATGAATAATATTTGAACATTTTTTATCTTTAGATTAGTTCATGATGTACTATCAGATGAAGAATCAAATGAAACAAAAATAAAAAATTCTAATTCAGACACTAGAGACGCATTTAATGTATTTTCAACGTCGGACGAAGATAATCAAGAATCAGAAAACAAGTAAGTACCAACTTTTTAAAAACATTGCTAGTATAATTAATTTAATTATGTTTTTAGACCAACAGTAAAATTAAGATATGAAAGAAAAAGACGAAAACTTCCCGAACTTCCTAAGAATAAAAGTAAGATTACTACATATGACAACAGTGGCGTACTTAAAATTTTTCAATACCTAATCAGAAATTTACAATAAAAGCAGTCCTGCCACCAGTACTGTCAGTTCTAGTACAGTAGCGGCTACCACTTTTGTACCAATACTATCATGTACCAAATCTGGAATGATAACTTTTTTCCGTACTGACAGATCAGTACTAGAGGTTTTTTAAAACCAGTAGTCTGCCAATAATGGCAATCAAGTACTTAATAAATCAGTACTTTGACAATAAGCCAGCCAATACTATGCTAGTATGTGCTAGTCAATGGTCAGTAGTCAGTACTGGATAATACTTCGCCCATTGTCAATATTGGTACTTATAAAAAAAAATACTTAGTCATCAGTTCAGTTGCACTGTGTCAATATTTTTAAACATTTGACGTTATATGAAAATTTGAGTTCATCAATTTAACAATTAATTAGTTAACTAATAGACCATAGATAGAAATTCTTCTTCATTATGAAGTTCCTAGATCTCGCTCATAAAAAAAAAAAAAAAAAAAAAAAAGTAGCATTTAAATATTTTTTGTTTTAGCGGAAATAAACCCCTTTTTAAGATAGTTAATACAAATTTGTGCTGGCTGATAATATGTTTAGAATAATTTAATAAAATTTATAAATGTATATAATTAGGACTTTAATTATAATTATTAAATTAGAATTTTAATATGTAATAGCAGGGTCAGTTTTGAGTCTTGCTGATGAATTAAGCGATGTTTTTTCGACTTCAGACCGAAGAAAATGTCTTATAACTGGTTTTAGGGATAGCGAATGTCGTTCCCCAGATTCTGGTATTTCTGTAGTTCATTCACCAGAACGTGCTAAGTCAATCTCGCCTCAACAAATAGGTAAGTTATGAATTTATAAGTTTTAGTTTGTTTTTATCGTATATTGCCGGTACTTAAGATACGCCTGCTTCGTCATGTTGTTCTTCGGGGCTACCGTTTTCACATTTAGAATTATTAGAAGCTACGCATAGAGGACTATATAAATTTATTCCACGTCATCAAGATGAAATGGAAGTAGATGTTGGTGATCCTATATATGTACAAAAAGAAGCCGAGGATTGCTGGTGTGAAGGTACGAGTAGATTTTATGTACATATTTGGTTAATAAAAAATTGACTTTTTTTTTATACAATTCATACGAATTTAAACTATCTTGGCATTATCTTTATCTATATAAATAGAGTAGTAATCAAATACATATTTTAAAAATGAGGAATATTACCAATTTTATATAGGAAATCGTATATTTTTTTTGATAAATTATATTTCAATGATTGAAAATTTGTTCAATATGGCCTCCAATAGTGAAAGTACATAATCATTCCATACTCTCTCGCCATGCGCATTTTTAGGTACTATTATAACCAGAGGCACAAATATTATATTATAGATTTTAAATATAATTTTCAACATCGTTAGACGTGTTGTTTACACTTTTGAGAGGATTAAGTATAAAGGTGTTTATGATTATTGTTATAAAATTTAATTCAATAAAATAAAGATGAGCAAAAATATAAACATATAAATTGTATACTAAATATTAAATTTAACTAATATTCTAAATTTTTAGGTGTAAACCTGCGCACAGGAGCTCATGGAGCATTCCCCTCAGCGTACGCAATAGATGTTGATTATACTGATTTTGAATCGACTACTCCAAAAGTAAAACGTGAACGCTTTCTATTAGGCTACATGGGTTCAATGGAAACCATGTGGCATAAAGGAAATTCTGTGCTTTGTCAAGCTATAAAGAAAATCACAGAGATGCCAAACTGTAAACCTCAACAATGTATTCTTGAAGTATCTGATCTAGGATTACGAATGGTTGACCGTGCCAAATCATCTGCTTATGTTAGTAATGTTAATTGTATGCATGGAGTTTTAAAAAATAATATTAATTGAATACATTTTCTTAGAGTTATAGTAGGGATCAGCATATATGAAAGGCCATACATTAATTTATATTGGATTATGAGGAGGGTCCCGTCTATATCAGAACCACTTTTAACTTTTCGTTGAGTAAGTGAGGGAAGGCTATTTCCATTTTAAAAAGTTCATATATCCCCTCCACCTTTTTGAACGACCCTTATCATCCCATTTTACCCTACGATTAAGATAAACCACACTTCATCCCCTAGGACACGCTCTTCACTTCCCTTTAGCGCTAAATACCCAATAGGCTCATAATTTTTTTAAATTTTAATACTTTTGGATCTTAGATAAGATGAAGGATTGTGATATTTTACTTATTTCATATTTACTACTGGTAAACTATTTAAGTTACAAAAGCTAAAACCCTTATTTTACTCATTTTTTAATTTTAAAGGTTTAATTACGCAGAAAAAAACATTTATTTGCAAACTTATAAAACTTCAATCAGTATTAAACATTCCATAAATCCTTGCTTCAACTGAAGATGCTGCTTTTTAATACTTAGTGGAGATTTATATTGTTCTTAAATAGTAGTACATAATCGTTTATAATTTTTTGAAACACATATAAATATTTATACTTTTAACTCCACTCAACTTGAAACATATTTTAAATGACTCAGTAGAATAGATAAATTGTGATCTACTTACTAATAATAACTTCCTTAATCCTATTTTTGCAATAGTCAAGAGGATCAAGTACGCCGTTTCCAGATTACTTTTACTCTCTTAAAAACGTTTCTTTTTGTGCGTTTTACCCGGAGGACCAGAGATATATGGGATTTGTTACCAAACATCCAACATGTCAACGGTTTGCATGTCATGTATTTAAAGCAAACGAGTCTTCTAGGCCAGTAGCAGAGGCTATTGGGTAAGATAATAATTAATAATTAAAGTTATTAGAATTCATATCATTAAATTTATCAATGTAGGCGAGCTTTTCAACGTTTTTATCAAAAATTTATTGAAACTGCATATCCAGTTGAAGATATTTACATAGAATGAAAACAAATGGATCTAAAAATGGGCAATGTGTAATGTAATTATTAAGTAGCAGAATTATTTTTAGTAACATTTTCTTCATGTCTTATTCATGTAAAATTTATTTAAATTTTTGACAAAATATTTACAATAAAATTCATTGATAATTTAGAAAAATTAAGGAGGTACAATTATATTAATTACAAGACTTCATATCACTGATTTAAAATTTTACCATGGAATTATCGTACTTAGTTATACAGTGTGATTTTATTATTGTGAACCATTCTATTTATCAAAAAATTAAAATAATCTTTTTTCAATTTCTTTTATTTACACACATATTTTAACTTATTCATTGTGAAGTATTCTATATGTCTTATAAATAGGGCAAGGAGTTATATGCATTTATAAATTTTCTTTGAATCACTTTGGAGCGTCCTAACTTTGTGCATCTTAGGATTATAGAATTATATATAGCTAGAGATAGTAGGGTAGAAATATTTTTGGTTTTAAGGGGAATTAACCTCGGTAATAACACATCACTAAGTTTTCAATTAATAAGATTAAAGATTTGTACTGGCTCATGGTGTGTTCAGAATAACTTTTCAAAATTTATACATGCATATAATTCCTAATCCTACTTATAAGGATAGTAACTATATATTTTCTAGGGGAACACACTTAATTAGTTAGGTTATTTATTAGATAATTTAGAAAATGAATGGTTGATAATATAATTTATGGACCAGTGTTTCAGAAGTTCTTAATAATTAAAAGTTGTAAAGCATGGGTGCTGCTATTTTTATTACTTGATAATATTTCACTACTCTATCTTTCTGCCTATGTATAATAGTGTTAATAAATTACAAAATATAGGTCCAAAAGTTGTTAACAACCTGTCATTTTCTAAATTTAATCATAATTTTATGAATTAAATATTCTCATAAAAATAAATAAAATTTATATCCTTATAAGACATAAAGGGTGAATATATATATATCATGCTGAATAAATTGAGAAAAATATGTAAATAAAAGAAACTGAAAAAAAAATTTATAATATTATTTTTATTATTTGGTTTATTTATTAATTCATAATAACATATTCACGCTGTATAAGTTAATCCATATTTATGTTTTGTATCTCATGAAACAAAATAAGAAAAGTTTGAAAATATATTACAAGATGATTTAAAATAAAGAATTGCATTAATTAACTATTTGATACCTGAATATGTTTTGTTTATTTAAAAGTATAAAGTTTGTGAAACTTATAACATTAAATAAATTTTATTTTTAGAGCTTGTGTAATTATAATAAAAAGTATATTGCATGAAGAAATGTACTTAAGAAATGAACGTGCAACAGACTGCTCTATTAAAGAATCTAATTTGTGATAATAATTATTGTACTTATTGTATCTCAGCATATGATAGATAAATGTTAAACAACTATTCTTCATTTCCAAACAAATTCCAAATTTATGTTATCTATAAGGTATTACTATTTAAATAAGTATATAATAAAATGAAAATCATTATTTATAAAAATGGCATTTTAAAAACTAATGATTTTATGAATACATTTGTTATTATTTGGTGATTAACACCAGCTTTAATTGTATGATAAAAAATAAAACTTGTTGAATCAGCTTAATAAGTTTGTTATTTTATAACAAAAACAGTCTGATTATATTTAAAAATGCTTAAAATTAATTATGAATCATGATCACTAATGTAAATGATAAATATATCTACCAGGTCTTATAACAAAAACTTATCCATTACTAGTTATAATTTAGCAAAAACATTTAAATTAAAATGTTGAGCATATTGAATGAAATTATGGTGATATTATTAAATAAATAATAACACATAATTTAAGAAAAAATATTTTATGTAGAACTTCTGAGTTTTTTCAATATAGATGTACAATGTTTTATTTCAAAATAAAAATTAATCAATAAAATAGGGTAAAAATTAGATAATATCACAGAATTGTTTTCACCAAATTAAAAACAATCATGTACTAAAATAGCAATTAAAGTACAGAATTATTTTCGATCAGGTCTCAATTGGTTTCTTGGTCCACCTTTTCCATTATTACCCTTGAATGAATTTTGTTTTACATTCTGCTTTCCCATTCCGGTACGTCTTGTATTTCCTATAGTATTTCCATTGGCAGGTGGTGGCAGAGGAGGTGGTGCATTAAGGTTTACTTCACTCATGTTAATAGCTTCATTAAATGTCATAATGAAATCTCCAATTTTTTCAATCTCTCCATTCTTACCAACATAGAGTGTTAAACAGTTTCGGAAGTATATTGCATAAGCTCTATGGACACGTATAATATCTCCTGGATATAAAAATGCTCCTGGTTCATCCCAAACAGAAAAGTTAATACAAGCAGAGTTATCAGCTACTTTTACAGTTCGAACTTCATGATTATCTTTTAGTGGAACAGCAGGGTTCACTTCTAGTACTATACAGACAACTGTAATATTGTTCATATTATTTTGAATATCCTTTATTGCAGTCAGGGAAATTTCGGGGTTAATAGATTTTGGTTTATTTATACCCATCATTTTTACTAATACTATTTGTTGGTTAATTTTATAATTTTATAATTATATATATATATTTATTTATATATATATATATATATATATATGTATATATAATATGTCTAAGCTATAATTAAGCAAGATGTAACAAATCACTTTACTAAGAATGGTATTTCTGAAACAATTAAAACAAAAAATGTGATTAAATTAATAAAAAACAAAAAAAATTAATTTAAATAGTTATAAAACAAATAGTATTAATATTTTAATGAATATTAAATATTTATTGAACAATGTATATAGAGGAAAAACAAATACCTCTCTAAAAAAGTAACACTAGGTAGTAAATACTAATTTAATTTTACATCAACAATTGATACTAGAACACTGTTTAAAAAATGATAAAATTTAATCACTAATTAAAAAACAAAACAAAAGAGAAAGTGTTCAAAATAGTTAATGCTAATTAACCTAACTAATTAAGTATTGCTTAAATTTATACACACTAAATATTTAATCACAACACAATACATAAATACACTTTTAATTTACCCAAAAGGTTAAAACTTTAAAGTACGGTGGGAATAATACTTTGATAATTTGTTCAGTAGAGCATTTAAAGCTGATTTATTAAGTATATAAAAAAAAAATAGTAATTATCATATAAAAATTGGAATAAATATATTTTTATTACTTAGCATATGATTACTTATTTTCTAAATTTTCTACAACATTTAGGTACAATTTGGGTATAATTAATTATCTATTGTTTTATTTAAATCATAATTGTAGATTAATTGCAGAATCAATATATAGTTACCTAAATAATTGTTGAATTAGCGAAAAAAAAAATTAAACAAAAAGTGTAAAGACCAATTAATAATAAACAATTTCTTAAAAATAATTAGTTAAACATAAGAAAGGACCATTCCTTAATTTAAGAAATCAATTCTCAATTTCAAAAGAAAAAACATTTAAGCGTGTAATTGAAACTAAAAAAAAATTTCCAATTTTTTTTAAAATTAGTATTTATGTTTTACTTACTGAACAGTCAAATTTTTGTATAATATTCTATAATATGCATAATCTTTAAATTAAATTTTTTTTATCATTAAATACTGAACACAAAAAATAAGATATTAGTGAGCATTAAGTTAGTTGATTATAAGGTTTTAATAAATGGCAGGATGAATTTAAAATTTGCAAAGTACAATCAGCACAAACAATCAATTTCCCACCTCATTTTCACAAACTAAACTAAACTAAGTAAACTTGTATAAAACAATATTATTATGGATAAGTCGGTAATAATAGGTGATCATTTATGATAAGACACAGTGAGGTTTGACGACCAGTCTCAAAGTTCCCATTATGTAATATCTTTAAAATTGATAACAGCAATCATAACGTGTCTTGATTCTAAAGTACCTGACGGTAGTAGAGATTAACGACTAGTTATAATTATTTGGTAAATAGTACCTTGTCTAATTTGATCGTTTAGTTATGCATTAACTAATTATTATATTTACCTGTTATAAGTAGTGAAAAGTTTATTGAAGTATCGCATTCGCTTTAAGTGCTGCTTGTTTTGACTTTTATTGTTATATTTTTTTTTTTTGTTTTATAACTTTTTTTAGAACAAAAAATACATTTTTAAATTGGAAATTTAATGAATATTAGATTTATGTATCTACATAAGTCTATTTACATATGTATCATACATAAAATCAGCTTAATTTACAAATTATTTCTTTCCCCTTAGTTCTTTTAATTTTTTACTGTTTATTTTAATTTTTGAAATTTAAATGCATCTTATTCGAAGAATACCAAAATTACCATTGGACATTATTGTTCCTCAATATGCACTACGTAGAAGAGGAGCCATATGTGTTTCTGTTCTAAGGAGAAATTCATATGAGGTAAGAGTTATACATTATTTTTCAAAATTTATCTTAAATATGCATTTAATTTATTTATTATGTGACTAATTTTATAAGTTTAATAATATGTTAACATTATAAAATTATATAAGTGTATTGTTATTTATCTGTGATATTTTCTAAAATAAGATTTGGTTTTATTTTGTAAGAAATTTAATAGAATAGTGAATATTTGTTAAAGACCATATCTAGTTTGTTAATAGTTCATTTGCATACACATTTTTTTGTTGATGAATAGTGAATAAATCTACTTCAATTTTGTTTAGAAAACCTGTATAGTAAAGTCTATATTTTAAGTTCATTAAGCATTAATATAGGTAATTAAAAAAATATAAAGATTAATCATATTTTATAAAGTTAAATAGTATTGTTACTTTTAGCCTGCTCGATATAAATTTAAACGCCTGATTGTATAGTTTATGCTTATTATTTTATTTTATAATTATAACAAAATTAAACATTTTAGCTTGTCAAAGATACAACCATTTAAGTATTCACTTTTATTATAAATAATTTTGATAATTGGCCTAACAAAATTTGATTTAAATAGTAACATAGACAATGTAATTAAAGCTTTATAATTGATTACCATAATCTTTGAAATTTGTTATATTTATTAAAACAATAGGTGACAATTAGTTATATATATATATGTATATACATTAACTAAATGTATATATTTGTTTTTAAGTTATACTCATTAATTTTCTTTATGTTTCTATTAATAAGATCAACTCACTGAGCTAAATAATACAAAAGTTTAAAGATGTATTATGTAGATTTTTTTTTTTAAAACTTATTCATTACTTTTTAAAATACTTTTGTTATGAATTAATAAAAAAAAATTTATTTTTTTTTTGAAATAACATCAATTTACGAGATTAATAAATCAAGATTTAGCTTGACCTAATATAATAATATAAAATAATTAGACTAATTTTAAATTCTTCAATAATTCTAGTATTTTCATCTTAATACTTGATCTTTTAATAAGTCACTGACTTTAAATACTATATGTGTTATAAATACATATATGTATTATAATACATTGATTAAAACAAGTTTTAAGTGTAAGGATTTAAGTATTTTAATGTAAAGTATATGTAATTTAATTTATTTTTAATTAACCTTCAGTTTTTGATTTATATATTAAATTATTTTATAATCATTATTATAAAACATCCTATTTACTAGATTTTTCATATTTCGTATGTCATATTATAAAAATTCAATTTTTTTTTTTTTTTTTGAGATTGATCTTTTATAGTATATGATCTAAATTTATATTTTATAATGCGTTTAAATAATCAATTTTTAATTGATTCAAAAAAAAATAGTTTAAAATCTTTTAAATCTTTCTAAACAACAACAAAAAAGAACAGGAAATTTTCATTTACCTTACATATAACTTATTTGCTTTGCAATAAGATTAACTTTATACTCTCAGTTATCAGTGTATATTTGCTACTATTTATAGGTATTATTTATTTGAATTTATCTGTTTTCTAGTGTTAGTAAGCAATTTCTTATGGTCAAAGATGTATTTAGACATTTTAACTTTAGGTAAAGAAGAAAGAATTACCTATATGAATAAAATTTACACAAAAATGTATTTTTAAAAAGATAAAATACAACTTATGATTAAACCATTGCATTTTGCGCTATTTTTTACATCTAAAAATTAAATTATTTATGGTGTACATTAAAATACATTAATTTATAGACATATGTATTATATTTTTATATATTTCCTATAGTAATAATTATTGACATTAAATTTTAGAGTAATAAATACACCAGAAAGGGCTAAAAAATTCCTACATCTAGGATATATATCCCATAGGCCTTTTCTCAAATACGTTCCTGTTTATAAGAGTTTTATTGATTTGTTTGTACAAAATATGAATAAGAGAAATTTTGTGTATTGAAGTTTCTGAAAAGATTAAGCTAGTATTACAGAATTATGAAAACCATTTTTAAGTTAAAAAAAAGCAAATAGGGAATATCAATCGAAAAAATGTATGGTGAACGTGGTAATAAAATTGGTATTTTTTTAATAACTCATTTAGTAAAATAAAATTAGAATATTGAATTATTCTTTATTTTAATTTATAAAATTGAAAATTTACCATAGTAAGGTATTTCATAAAATGTTGTTAAATGAGTAGATACGCTACATTAAGGAAAAAATATAAGATGATGTATGTTCATTGCCTTAATAACTTTGTATGATTTCATTTATTGAAGAAGTAGTATAAAGTAAAGTTGAGTTATTTAATTAAAAATTACTGTGCTGACGATGTCATTCAAAATCTAATTTAATTTGAAGTTAGTATTTATAGAAAGTATGCACAAAGTTTATAATCTAATATGCAAAAATATCGATAATTTTTTTTATATTAAGCATTGGCGTAAATTTGATTTTCGAATCGCTTGTTATATTCGTATTCGTTGCGCTTTTCCTTCAATGAAAACTACTACTTTTAGTTATGTTGAAACATTTCAAGTTGTGTACACATCATGTTTAGAAAAAATAATTTTTTTTGTTCCAATCTTTGTAAATAATATTATTGCTTTGAAAAATCTAAACGAACGTTTCGAAGTTCAAAGCAATTATTTGACATGTTTCGTGACAACATTTTTTGCTATAGCAATATATATATCTGTAATTACTTTTTTATTACTATCTATTTTTAGATCCAATTCCTATCGAATATAAAATAAGGATGATGATATAAAGTACGTTATATATTTGTAATAGACTACTTTGATTAATTTTTTTAAATAATTTTATTTGTTAAAAAAAGATGTCGCTCAATTTTAATGCTAATGCTTACTACTTTTAATAGTTATTACTGTTTATAATACTTTTATGATTACTGCAATATTATTTCAATATAGAAAACTTGATACTACTTAATTTATTGTTTATTGTGAATCATAACACTTTTATTAGGATATCATAAAATATCCTAATTTTTCTTATTGAAACTTCTTTTATTTCAAATATATAATTTCAGACATTAATTGTCGGGAACTCAACAACTGTATTTGTATAATTATCAACAACTGGTTGCTTTTAAATTATATTAAATTCAAAATTTGTGTTACCAGTATGTTTATAGATATAAGATTTTTTTTCATTTTTGTGGCCTACAGGTATTTTGCTGCTTCTAACATTTTTCTCCAAATTTTTCAAACCTCCGTATTTTCTATACTCATTGTTTTGAGATTATTATTAATAGATTTAGACTTTCTAAATCTTTTTTAACATTGTCAAGCCAGAGTTGTCGAGGTCTACCTTTTGTTATTTTTCGCTGGCTTTATTGATTAGCACTTTATGTATCAATAATTTTTTGCTCTCCATACATTCTCTCCCATTTCAGTCTTTTCGCTTTCAAACATTTTTACATATTTAGCTTAATGAATATCCTTTCGATTTCTCAATTTTTCTTTCTTTCACAGAGACCTGCATTTGGGTTTATTGTAAGTCCATAAATCTTTCCAAGTGTTTTCCTCTCAAATACTAACAGTTTTTTTTCATCATCTTTTTTGGTTGCCCAGGTTTCAAAGGAATATATAACAATAGAATATAGATAGGCAATGTACAGCTTTGTTTTTGCATCCCTTAACTTGTTCAAATAAGTAAGTATCGTCCTACTCTAAGATATCCAATAACTGTCGTCTTTCTCATCATAATCATTTATTTTGTTTTATTAGTTAAAATCGAACAGTTTAAAAGTTCATGTTATTAAATCAGTATTGGATTCAGTCAAAAATAATAATATCACCAGTATAAGCTAACAGAATATAGTTCGTGATAACGTTCATATTTTCATTACTGTGTGTTTCTTTTATCACTCTTTCTATGACCAAGTTAAAAAGGATAGAAGATAAGGTATCCCCTTGCTTTAGACCGTTATTGACTTCAAACTGTCATGTTTCTTTCTTGAAATGTACTTTATGAAAATTTTCGAGTTACAGTTTCGAATAAGTCTTACAAGTAATCTGGGAAAGCTAAAATCGTTTAGTGCTACCCATAAATCACTCTTATTAATGGTACCATATGCCTGTTTAAAAGCTATAAATATTGTATAAAGTCAATCATTCAATTCTTCTTTTCGTGGTTAAAATGAAACATTTTTGTTATATAAAAAAAAAAAAAACCTTTATATAGTTAGCTAGAAGATGAGCCACGGAAGTCAAACATAGGAGTATACGAGACTTTCAACTTAACGTCATATATCAGAGTTTGATAGATTTATGACTGCATATGTTTAGGCAATTTATGTATTATTTAGGTAAAATTTGTGTTGAACTTTTTTGCAAGTTTTTACATGCAATATTACCAACA